ACCTATCCTTAGTCTCTCATTCATTGAATGAATTTCCCTGCAACCTTCAGGCATGTCAAGAACTGGGTCTCTATCCAACATTCCTGTTACTCTACTGTCCAGAATGTGCATGACATCCATGTCCATATTTGGCATATCATCATTTCCTTCAGCAAGTTCTATTTCTCCTAGTTCATCATCTACATCAGCTGTTTCCATAATATCTCCTGATTCTACTTTGCTCTCCTCATCAACCAAATGAAGAATATCATCATCCTTCTGAATGCAGGAGGTAAGTTTGTCACAGTCTCCCAAGGCATCAACAACTGAGATGTCCATGACAATATCAGAGGATGTTACAATACATTCCTCAATTACATCTGTATCTATGGAGCTGGACACTTGAGCAAGATCACTTTCAAAGACCACAACATTATCACAGTCTGCGTCCTCTATAGCCAAATCTGAAGACACGACGGTATCTGAATCCAAAATATCCTCGTGAGAAATGACAGAAACCTCAATTTCTTCACCACATTTCTCTCCAATCAGTTCTTTGGTATTACTGCTAACCTCTTTTTCTATTTCTACTAGAACACTGGATTTCTCACTTGCTGATTCATCTGATTTTTCAGTACTGGATAAATCTTGTTCACTTATAATTTTGGCTACTCCTGATAAGTTTTCTTCTTTGTTATCAACAATTAACACACTTGAAGGTACACAAACTTCATGAGCCTGAGAAGGAGGAGGGGTTAGAGGTGGAGTATGTGAATTCTCATCATCAAAATCATTGTAATCTACACACACAAGAGATGCAACCTTAGACACAACTGCAACAGTCTTCCCCGGTGTAACAATACTTCTAGTTTCTCTGGCAGAACTACATGACTGCAGAGCACTTTTACTTTCCACCTGACCCTTGGTCTTTGTCCCACATGTACCCACCCCTGCATCTTTGTCCTGGTGCTCTCCACTGCCATTCCCCTTCTCATCGTTGCATTTAGAGCTGCCGTGTCTCCCTCCCCTTCTAAAGCCAGTTCCAGTAGACCACATGGGTGACCCACCACGAAGTCCAAGCTTGAAGTAACCAAATCTTCCAAACATTGCTGGTAATGGCAAAGGGTTTGCTGGGTTGTTTGGATTGCCACCCCCTCCTCCAGGTGCTGTATCATTATCCTGGTGCTCCAAATGGCCCTGACCGAACTCTCCTCCTTGCTGGCTGCTCTGAGGTGTGTGTGGGGTGTGAGGTGTTCGTGGTGTTAGGGGATTTTCAACACTTTGTGGCCTATCAGGCAACACAGGGCTGTTACTGACACTTCCTGTGCTTGAAGGATGCCTCATCTGCATTGGCGAACCAACTGAGTGTGGAAGATTCTGGACCATAGAATTTCGAAGAACTGGTGAACTAGGTGGCTGATTCTGGCCAATCTGCTGATATTGTTGTTGAACCACTGGACTGCACGGTGGCATTGGCGAATTTAGCGGCTGAGTCTGGTTCATCTGCTGAAGCATCGGACTGTGTGGAGGCACCGGAGAATTAGGTGTCTGACTCTGATTCAATGATTGGACCATGGGACTTCTAGGAGGCATTGGGGAACTAGAAGGAAGATTTGAATTTTGATGTTGTTGATGAATAATTGGGCTTCGAGGAGGCATCGGGGAGCTTGGAGGTTGATTTGGTTGCTGCTGAAGCATTTGCTGCTGTTGTCTTTGCTGTGCTAACTGCTGATGTTGTAAAATTTGCTGTCTCTGCTGATGAATCATCTGTCTTTGCTGTGCTAACTGTAGCTGCTGCCTCTGAGCCAGCAGCAAATTTGCTTCTTGTTCTTGTGGCTGCTGCTGCTGCTGAAGCAAGTGCTGCTGCAGTTGTCTTTGAACCATCTGCTGTGGTGACTGCTGGCCGACACTTTGCTGAACCTGCCGCACAACCATCTGACCAGACACGCCTGTTTGTGCCTGCTGAAAATGAACTGATGTTTGTTGCTGAGAATGTCCTGTTTGCTGTTGTCCAGACTGTGACGTAATTTGTTGAAACTGCTGCTGCTGCCCCACAACATTTGACACCACAGACTGTGGACTTCCCAGAGGCGAAGGAGAACTGGAACTTGAGTAGACAATACCAGCTCTAACATTCTGAGTTGGTGATGGCTGACTATACATGACATTGGTGGGTCCCATCTGTCCTGGCCCTTGAATAGGCAAACCACGAGGTCGCAGAAGGGCTGGCTCAGAGTTTCCACTGATAGGAGAGCGTACGAATCGTGGAGGCATATTAATCCTTTAAAAAAAATACACTAAATGTAATGAATTTAGACAGAAAATACAAACAGCTGAATGAAAGCACAGAAATAAAATACTGCAAAGAAATTCACGTGACACAATACTCTTGTCTCTAGAATAAAAAACAACATATTATACAGAAATCTATTATTACTATTTTAAACTACCTTATGAACCATGCCAACAATATTAACCTTTCATTTCCTTTACCGCTAAAACACAACATCTCTTTACATTTACTGTAACATCTGCAAATAAAAGATGGTTAAAATAGAACCATTTCTCAAAAAAACTGCTGTTTTCATGACAGTACCTGTGTGCTGAGTATGTGAACCATTAACAACCAAACCAATTATCTGCCGTATCTGAAATCTGTTTCGCCTGTTTAATATACTACTCTCAATTTCTTCTCCCTCCATCCTATATAAATCTCCATTTGTAATAAATCTTGTCAACGATGTTCATAATCTGGGTTATAAGGCTGTGCAGAACTGCAGGTAGTATCATCATTTCAGAGCAAGATACTCTCTCAATCTTCAGCCCTGAAGATGGAGATACAGGTAGCCCTCAATTTACGCTGGGGATGCGTTCTAAATCTGTGCAAATTTAACCGGCCGAAATCGAGGGCTACCTGCACATATTTATCTGAACTGGTGATATCTACACAGCATTATAACCCAAAAGAACACCAACATCACCTTCACTGCCATGAAAACCTCATATCTCGCACGTATACAATTTTTTTATATCTATGTCAAATTCTGCCATATGCTATGCTAGCAATAACATTCATTCTCTTACATCGTCACAGCAAATACTGCTGTAGTAGTTGTTTCTGCCTTACTGTCCTCACTACTTAGCATATATTACATTAGTTATTGCTGGATTCTACATATTCCCTAATTAAATTAATTTCTCCGCAATTACATTCAGTACGCTGTGAAGCAGGTTACAATGGGCAGTGCTTGTAGCTCATACAGGCAGGCAACTAATGCATACAGACCAATATATTACGAGAAGTTTACTGTCTCACAGAACACAAATTCTATTCTGCAATATACAGTTTTGAAATACAGTAAAACCTCTCTAAATTGGACACTTGGAGTTCCACAAAAATATGTCCAACTTACAGAGGTGTCCAAGGTAGAGGGAGAGAGAAAAATCAGATTGACGTCTACTGACAATATAATCTATTTACTTACATACACTAACTACTGTAGGCTTACTTGAATTAAGAATTAAAGACAATGGTATTAATAATAATCTTTTGAAGCCCACTCCCATGCATGGCAAATTACACCCCAGCCTCAAAACATTTTCTAAAGTTAATTCCACCAATTTTCGCTTACCTATCGCAAAAGGAAAAATTCCATTTCTGTTAACACAGTCTGAACTCAAATGCAAGCACAGTACTGATGGAGTTAAAACTGTGTCTTCTGCAATACTGTAGTCCAGTTAAGGGTTCAGCAAAAGAATAGTTAAACACTTGCAATGCATTCCAATGATGGGTTCAATGTCCATAAGATAATCCTCCAGAGAGGAGGCATTCATCAGTCAGAAATTTGAAATAACAAAATGTGTAACTGAAAAAGTTTTGCTGAAAAGCATCGAAGTCAAGTGCATGAACCTGTCCAACTTAAAACAAAAGGGGTGTCCAAGATATAGGGTATTGTGGACATGTAAAATTATAGGATATTCGTCGGTTCAAATTAAAAGTGTCCAATATAAAGGGGTGTCCAGGATATAGGGGTTGACGGGTTTTACTGTAGTATCTTAGATACTCTAGAGCGGTGTTGAACAACTGGTGTGCCACAAAATTTCATATCTTCCACAACTGAAATTCATAATACACACTCTGGTTCATTATCGATAGTTTTATTCAACATGTGTAATATTTCATTTTCATGTGCACAAATCCTTTTCGTAAAGCAAAAGTGCTGTCTTGTGTTCTTGACAAATTAGGGTGTGAGGTGGGTGAAAAAATATTGCAAAACACTGCTACAGAGTCACATGTTTAAATCCGTTGCATAACCATGTTCAGGCTCCTATCGCATATAATTAAAGAATAAGGAGATTCTTGTTACTGTAGTAGAAAAGTGGACAAATACTACCACATAAAGAAATGTTTGCTTCCTCTGTGTTGAACCAAAACCAGACAGCAATATAATAAAACAGATATACTCATTTATTTTACTGAAGTTATAAGCTGAATCCAACAATTTATCCTAATATTTCAAATGTATATTAAAGGTACTTTATAATTCCACAGATTGTCACACTGACAATAACCCAACCAAAAAGGGGAGTTCTGTCCCAACCTGAGGCTGCCTCTTTGAAGGCTCTGCCACTCCAGTTATGGTTTGCCCCCACAAGGAAATTGTTGTCATTGTTGAGGACATTGCTTCCCTCACAAACTGGATTTTGCCCCATCTGGCAGGGTGACAAAAGATTTTTTTCTCCCAGCAGCATATTCTCTATGCCTGAGTCATCCTGAAGCCCACTACACCTGAACCCCAAGGGCACACCCTGCATTACATACCCCAATACTACTCTGGATCTCACCAGGGCAACTAAATTAACCGAAACTAAACTTTTTGTTCTGTCCCACCAAAAGTAACCTTCCTGATGATATCCATAACCAACAAAACACAACCTGACCTACTTTGAGAACAACATAATCTAACTTCACCCAACCCAGCCTAATTCAACAACATTACCCAATCCAATGTAACATACCCAACCCTACCAAACTTTCAAATCCAACCCAACTTAACCTAATCTGGCCCACCCTATCCTAACCTAACCCAAACTCGCAATGTAAATGGTGCATAAAAACAACATAAATAGTTATAAAACCTAAAAAAAATTGAAAAGGAAAAATTATCTACAAAGCATTGTTCCCATGAGTATCATGGCAAGAAGAAAATCAGGCAAGAGTTGCACTATTCATAAGTAGCAAAGAAATTAGTAGTGATGCTGAGAGACAGAGCCAGACATATGAAGGGTTAAATAACTACAAAAAACTGCAGGTGGCTCTAATAAACAAGTGAGTTAATATAACTAAGAGGGCTGCAATTACAGTAAGTGTTAAAAATATCCACTATTCGTTCCACGACATGCAATCGAACATTGTGGAATACTAGCTTGCATACATCGCAACACATATGCATCATTGGTTTCCACAACAGCATAAAACTGCTGTCAAGATGTACATGTCAGCTGGCAGATCCCTGTAAACAATTTAATTAAAGTGTCCCCAATATAAGAAGTCTAGAGGGTTCAGGTCCATCAATCTTGCAGGTCATGATACAGGGCTGCCATGTGTAAGGCACATGTCAGGAAACTGTGTGCTGAGGTGCTGTTGGGTCTGCGCAATACAATGCACTAGCACTCCATTGTGTTGAAACCACATGTGAAATCAAACCACCACTGGTACATCTCCATGCAGCACTATGCTTCCTGCAGGAACATACAATAATCAGGGCCACTGAGGGAGTCAGGGATTAGGTACACTTGTCAAAGATACCAGCTGACATATTAATGCTTCAGTGAACTTCATGGCCCCACTCATGTGTGTTACATGGGGATTAAGCTGTGTCCACAAGACGCTGCTTTGACTGCTTAGGATCTCACGTGTCAATGCTGATTTGCCAGACCATAAGATATGCTCCAAAAAGTAGTGGAGATGATGATAACAATCATGAGTTATAAGATCTTGAACCCATGAGTAGTGGTATGGATACAGGTCATCATCTTGAAGGATTAACTAGACAGTGCAATGTTTGACACCCAACTCTCAGGAAATTACTCGTGTACTGCAACACAGATTCTGTGCCACCACATCCAGAATGATCTCTCGGAAGAATGCCAGTGTCCAGCGAGTGCAGTCGACCACTACCCAATGGTGGTGCTGGTAGGATGCTGTCAATCTCCCTCAACCTCTTGTCCAACTGGTAAACCACATTATTATCTGGATGGCAGTGTGCTGGATACCATTCTGCATAAGACCTGGCTGCATTGTTGACCCAGTTACCATAATCACCAAGGATCAAACACATATCACAGCATTTGTGCAACATGAAGTTCATTATAGTTATACTTTCCTATTAATGTCTTACTGCCACAGAATGACTGCACACTGCAACAGTAAGACTACTACTGTGCGGTGAATGTTCATTACTGTCTACCGCAGTATTGCAGAGAACTATTTTTGTATTTCCTGTGCTGCATATCATGTCTTATGACCCCTGGTCTTCCCACAGTGTGATTAATGTACTTGCCCCATTTGACAGTAATGTACAGTGAAACCTCTATCCATCGTTCCCGGAACTATCGTTTTCCCGGATGCATCGTCCATTTTGTTCGGTCCCGAATACATCCCATATAAAATAATGTTACATTTTCCCGCTTCTATCGTTCCTCGAACTATCGTTTTATCGCATCGATCGTTCAAAAATCGTAGTCCCGGCCCACAATTTTCCCGCAATGATCGTTTCTGAGAATTTAAAATGCTGGGGTTTGAGATAAATTAATACCGAAAGACGCATAATGTTTTTGGAATACACAGTAGCGGTAACCTGTTATGTCGCCCAACCAGCACATTCTTTTGGAATGAGGGTCAGCGGTGCAGGGGTGATAGTTGGAGAGAATGGCGGCGCGCATTGTCAGAAATTTTACGATTTTAATTAGGGTGCACTCATATTTCGTTCCAGCGATGCCAGATGGCATGTGCAGTGTGAATTTCTTCACAAATGCTTTTATTATAAGTACAAAGGAAAGGCGAGCGAAACTTTTTCATTCTCTGGTTCATCTCGTGTCTTCTACAGCTACGTTTCGTTGAGTTCGGCAGTAATAGTACTTCCATTTTTCCTGTTATAGTCCGCGAAGGTTGAGGGAGCGGTGAGGAAGAGGGAGAAACGACGAATGCGAGCCCGAACTTTGCCGAATTGTTTTTTTTTAAATTTTTAATGCTTTCCCGCATCTATCGTTTTTATTTCCCACCCCCGCCGAAAACGATGCATCGAGGTTTCACTGTAACGATTCCTTCTAGAGAATTCTTCCTTTAAATTTTTGTTCTATTTTGAGGTTTTCTACCCATTCACATTGTTATTATGCACTATTTTTCCCACATCTGTATATGCGCCAACCTCTTACCTGTGGAAATATGCACTATAGAATCAAGTGATTTGACACATGAAAAAGTGAAATGTGCACTGGTATAGAAGCCACACTGCATCCACAGAATGAACTAAATATGGATTAGCATAAGAACATGATGTCCACTCTTCATAATCAGCCTTCCATGTTTTAGGCACAGTGGCATGTGACTGTCTCCTGCCAGCATCTGTAGGGATCCCCTGAGATTTTTGTCCTTTGGTTGGTAAGAGATAATTTGGAATGGGCTTCTATAACTTGCTGTGTATGTAATTTCTTTATTATGTCTGAATTCATTTCATACTCTAAATGAGTACAGCCTATTGTTCTGAGCAATGACCAAGAAATGTAAAGACAACAAACAGTAAATTAAATGATATGGCAGAAAAGGATTTTCCACACATAGCACTTAAATTTTGTAAGTACATAATTACAGTCACTTGAAATCATGCTTCCGCCAATGCTACTGAGAAATCTGTCAAAGACTGTACCTCTCAGATAGCTGCGGCATGCCACAGCAGTAACACCCTGAGACTGACCTAATTTGTTCACCTCCTGAGAACTGTTGCTGGACGGTTCTGTGATCTCCCGTATAAGAAACAGGACTTGTGACAAGACGCCCCATCCCTTGTGGAGTTGGAACTCCCATACGATGCTGTGGTGAAGTCATGCGTGGTGCCCCATGCCCTTGTGGTGAGGCCAGACGGCCCGCTGGAGGTGGGCACACCTGCTGTGGAGATGGGAGAGAACGTAACATCTCCTGAGGTGTGCCAGGACTGAACGGACTTTCCTCACTCTGCAAAACATATGAAATGATTCAATGTACATGGACTAAACTCTCACTTTAAAATGTGAGTTGTGAGAAATAAATGAACTCATTATGTAATAGAAATTGTAACTTGCAGTGACTGTGGTCATATTCAAAGTGCATGCCTTCTGAAATATACACATTCCAATATCTCTTTGGTTTCACTTCACTGAAAAATATGCACAATGTCATGATGCAAAATCCACTTCTTGAGCCAAAGGTTTTGTCTTCAAACATAAAACTTGAATTAAAGTGCTTACTGGACTGTACATTATTCCACTACATGTTTAAAAACTTCTGTGCAGAACTCATAATGAAAGCAAATGAAAATGGATACCAAAATTTGCAGGATGTGATATTTGAAAGAGAATGTCTAACTGCTGTTTGTCTGTAAAGCATACACAGTTTAGTAACTACTTGTCTCTTCTGAATACCACAATCTGCTTCTTTTGGTATCCATTCCCATTTTCTCTTGGTATGAGTTTCATATGGAAGGTTTAAAACACATAATTGAATAATATACATGCGCACAATTTTTATGAGTTCACTGCAAATATGTATTTTAAAGTATGCAAAAATCAGGACTCAATCTTGAAAATGTGACCTTTGCATCAGCCCTATTCCCTGCCTTATTGACTTGTCTATGTAGGAACATGGGCAACCAAGGAAAGTACAGTCTTCACCTCTGTTTTGCCATTGGTCATGTCTTCAAAAAGTAATAAACATTCATGCTTTCCTTCAAACTGACTAGACATACTGGTGTCTTTGCCAAATACAATTCTGACATAAGTAACTGCAATTAACCCCTCGCTGAGGGAAGTCGTCTCCAGACGTGCTGGCATTTAAATTTAGGTCTTCGGAACCACGTTCAATGACGTGCGGCTGTAAGCCTAATTTCAAATGCCCATAAGTATGGAAATAATAACGACTGATATATGATGTTTGTAGTTGATTTGTCGTGGAAAAAGTGCTCTTTCTGTTCATGTTGTGGCAACGTCGCATTTTTGGATCTGTCATGGCAAAGTAAGTGTATGAATGCGTGACCTAAGAGTTTACGGAATCTTCACTGTGGTGATTGTTTGTGAAGGGAAGAAACGTGCCTGTTATCCCAAAAAGGTTTATTTTACAATCTTACCTAATGCTGTGAAGGACAGAGGGGAAAAAAAGTATCTGAAACGGTCAGGGACCCCATAATTTTTCTATAATATATGCCGTTTTCATGTTTCGGTGTGGCAGAATAACAACATTTTAGCACCCCTATATTTACAAGGGTATGGAAAGAAGCCTTCCTAGAAAGAGACAGGTTATAACTGTTATGTATGATGCATATATTTGGCCTTCAGTTCGGGGTCAGATGGTGGGGTGAGGCTCCCACATTTCCTTCCGCTTATTCCTGACACAGGCCTCATTGCGTGTTATGCAGGAAACGCCAGAAAAGGATAGAATCTCTTTGTTTGTGTAGTGTTTTGTTTTGGTGAAGTTTCAAGAACCACCATACAAAACTCAACTTCTTCCACTATGTGACGATGTTGCAATCCTGTTGCATTCTCTGCAGCAAAGTGCTGGAACGAAAACGAGGAACAAAGTGGTACATGACATTGTTCAAAAGATTACTGAATGTATCAATACATAACGCAATGGTCATGTATCGGTCTGTTCCAAGTAACAGGAAAATAGACACCCTGAAATTCAGGATTCTTCTCGTCCAAGGTCTCGTAGAGAAACACGGTCCTGCTGTTCCACGTCCTGTAACCGGCCGTCCATCACTTGAGCCCCCCACCTAAGAGACTCTCAGAACGACATTTCCCGGAATGTATTCCACCCACTGGAAAGAAGGCTAGACCTCAAAGGAGATGTGTGGTGTGTACGAAACACGGGATGAGGAAAGACTCAAAATATTGGTGTAGTGAATGTGGGGCAGGGTTGTGTATAGATGGATGTTTCAAGAACTATCACATGAAATTGAAATTCTAAACCACCTGCTTTTATTCCTCACACACAGAGTGCTCATCTTATAAGGTAAGATTATAAAACCATCTTTTAAAAGGATTTCAGTGAAATTTCATTATTATGTCTCATATAGTTTAAAAGTTATGATAAAAAAGTGTTTTAGAGCAAAATTTAAATGGACATCGAAAAAAACCCCACTGTACGAACTCGACTGCGGCATTTAAACCCCCCAGCTGACGGGTTAATGGATGGTGAAGAGAAGTCACACATGGTCAACACATGGAGATTACAAATAAATGTAATTGTGATGCCAGGTGTACACTTACATGAATTTGAGGCTTTGAATATTTCAAATGTCTGAATTCTGTTGTATATGAATAAGAACCAAAAGAAAATGAAAGACATACTCTTCTGATTTTGTAAATGCTGTTGTTAATGTATTCTGAACCAGCTCACTGAAGCATGTCACAAGGTCCCATACCTGCGAGTGTGGAGTGCCCATCCGTGGGGAAGGCTGCAGACTGTGAGGAGACATGCCACTGCTGCTACCAGGCCCTGGGTTGCCTGGGCTATGCTGCAGCATACAAGTCACAGACCCTGGCCCTGGGCTGTGTGACAGGAGAGGCCCTGGACTGTGAAGGGGCGACGGATGCTGCTGCATCATAGGAGAAGGGGATGGTGACATCATGGGCGACTGTGGGGTGGAAGGGTGGTGGACGGGCGAAGAGGCAGGGCGTCCAAGAGGGGAGTGAATGACTACTGACTGTTGCTGTGGAGTGCTGGAACCAAGGACTGGAGGACCAATGAGGAGACTGGGAGGGCCAACACTTCCAGGACCTTGCTGCTGGCGCTGCTTTTGTTGCTGTTTGTTGCGATACTCCTGCAAGTAGTGAGCAGAGTGCACTCAATTACAAATATTCCCTTCAAAACTGTGCTCTCTCTGAGCATCAACCACCGCTGACTCTGGTTCCTTCTCATCATATCCTGAAACATTTTTTTTCAGAATAGCAATAGATCGAATGCAAGAAAGTGAAATATACCAATTAACTTCATGATACCTTCTATACAGGTACAGGTACCAGACAATTTTTATAAAACTTGGATATATGATGTAATGTGGAAACACTGCATTTTCCACTGTAGAAAATTAAAATCTCACAGTGACATCAACAAAATTTCATGTGTACTGCAACCACTTCTATTATTAATGCAATATTAGCAGTTTAAAATTAGGACTGATGTCTAGCCATTACAAAGTAAAACAACTACATAGTGTAATAGGTACAAAATATAAGAAATTGCAACATTTTATATAAAACCTTCACTTAACACAACACCTGTTATGGCCAACAGAGCAGCATTCACCACTGTTACAAACTGAGCATTCACTATTGTTACAAACTGAGCATTCACATTGCCTTGCAGTGTGAATGCTCATCACCTGTCATCACATTTCTTATAAGAGGCATACAATATAAAATACATTAGATTTATAATGTGAACTGACCTCTTTCTTACACGTGTTGTGGCTTCGTAATATTTTATTTTCACCTTCGTTTCTGCCACTATGAATTTCCTACACATAGCGTTTTCTGAACTGCATAATCACAATGATGACAATGATGATAACAAAAGCAATAAACTTAGAACAAGATGCAGAACAGCATACGTTAAAGAAAGAACTACACATAATGTGGAATTAAGAGGGCATCTTACAAATGTCCAAAAGACAAAGCTTGCCAAAACCGACAAAAACAATAAACTAACACATTTTAATAAATAAATAAATAAATGAAACTGGAGTACTTTTAAAAGAGCATGAAACTGATATAACAGTACAGTACAGTATTATGGCATTGTTCAGTAGACAATATCTCTAGTAACATTGTCATGTGTTTTAATGATTCCCTTCCTTTTATTCAGTTTACAGGTAACAATATTTTAAAAAAAGACTGCAAAAGCAATGGTTTAAAAATATGATTTATGCTACACATTACCAGAAAATTGTAAAAGCACAATTACTGCTTCATGCCATTAAGTCAGTCTGTTAATGAGGCCCTAGTCTTTCTTGAGAAGCAAACAGTTGCAAATTTTCATATTCCCCATCTTTCATTCACCCCAAAGGAAGAATCATTGACATCTTCACATCACATCACAGAGCCGTGTACTAACCCAGATAATCCAGCCAACTATTTTAATATTATCATACCATCTATGCTTAGATCTCCCAAATGGTCATTTGCATTCAGGTATTCCAACAAATAAAAGTTACATACTCAAAATAAATGTAACGTCAATAACACACATATATACAAAGTAGATATGTCCAAAAAGTCACTAGATACCGGGGGGGGGGGGGAAAAAATAAAAAATTGTATAAAGTAAACCAACATCAAAACTAAATCCTGAGGTGAGAAAGGAACATACAAGTGTACTTGCCATTCATCTTTACTCTTCATCAGGTAAAGCTAGAAGAATGAAAACATACTGTATGTTAGATCGCTAGATCACATTCCCTTCCTCTACAACTAATGACTTTTTGGACAACTAACAATACAAACAGATATATTAGTAACATGCTGTTACCTCGTACACATTCAAGAAGCAGAACACCCAAAATAAATCTACAACTTTCCAAAAGTGTCTAATAAAACAATGAAGTCTCAGCTAATAAATGCTAATGAAGGTAATGAGAGGCTGCCAACCATACTAAATCTATGGGTTTCAAAGCTTCAGTACTACATTACTGTGATGCACACAGCCAAGGCTTTCTTAGTGATAAAAATGAGGAGTGTGGTGGATACCAAATTTCAGAGGAAGATACTATCCACATCTTCAGCACAGTGCCCACTGATAACTTTGGCCATTCATCCATATTCATATTACAACTCAAAAATGGCTGAAAGGATTTTCATAAGAGTTTGTATGGATGTTATGCCAAACTCATACTCTTCAGTTAACTAAAATCAATAATATCAACATGATATCCTCAGACTTGTGAGGTGGGAGGATAATCCTCAACAATCATTCATGATAATGTCTCAATTATACACGTGTAACTCAAAAATGTGCTGGATACGTATCCACGAAATTCCGCAGGAACATTACACTGAGTCTATTTCAAAGTCATACACTTTAATTTCACACAACTGGTGATCACAGTGTGATGAATTTGTCAGGTGGGAGGATATCATCACATGTGATCCTCTACAATTATGTCATTATCCATGAGGCTTCATTATGACATCATCACTTCTTCACTTGCTTCAGCTAAATACTGGAACAGTTAAGAAATTTATATTATCACGGTTTTGTTCTCCAATGGCTATCAAGCTATAAGCAAGGTTCTTCCAGTATTTCATCTCACAGAAGTCAAATCCTGCTGACAGCACCACAACTGTCATGCTAAGTATACGTTTCCTGACTTGTTTTCATTCACATTGGCCTTTACCTAACCTTTCTTTGTTTTCTTCTTCTTCCAAATTCATATTGGCCATTCTATTTATTCAGCCTGTACCTCCCATCTCATAACTGTCTTCATAACAATTTATAAATTTTCAAGAATGAACAAAAGCATAATATTGCACCAAAATGAAGCATAAAGAACAGCATAGTTAGTTACACATGGCAGACTTTTGCCTAGTTTCTTAGAAAGTGCTTTGGGTAGCCACAGTACAAAAGCAAATATCAACTCAGCAGCCACAAGACACATTTCAGTTACTGAATTTTCTTTTCACTTTTCTTCAAAACAACATATTCTTTTAACTGTCACACAGTCCTCCTGCAAAAATGAAGAAAAATATTTTTTGTTTCCATAAACATTTAATACAAACTTCAGTCACCATAATACTTACTCATTCATGTCCTTATTTAATTACACTTTACATGAAGGTATGTGGTGATCGATATGATGACAAAATGGTAAATTGTAAATTAAATATAACAGTAAAAGAACTCTATTGCAAAATAATAACAATAATTTTCATAAAATATTGTGACAGAATGAAATGAGGTAGGAGACAGCTGGAAAAATGTTATTGATGTTGCTACTGCTCTTCTTTCCATCATCACCATCACCACCAGCATAACAACAATTCCACCTTCACATGTTTTCCTGGTATTGTTCCTCTTTAACTAGTGGTGAATCCATTATAACCTATAATTCTTCAGTCTCTTAGCTGCAGCACTAAACTTCATACCCAGATTATCTAAATTTGATTTATTATATACCATTACTGCTGCAGCCAGTGCATTCTTATTCACATATCTAAATCGAAGTGTTTTGCGTCTATCATCCAGATCAGCGTCCTTGAATTCAGCCACGGCTTTGCCAAATTCATAGCTTGCTTTGTCTCACTGCATTTTCCCTCTCTTTTGTGTGTGGTTCTGTGTTGCTTCTGTATTTATCAATGCCAGAATCTCTTGTTCTTCTCGACAATTTTCATTGTCTTATGTCACTTTATCATTTGCATCAGGGAACTAAGCCACTTATGCTTTTATTTATTGGAGATGCATTACAAGTATCCTATTACTTCTAAGAATGCCACTGATCACTGGTGCATTGTATCTGCAATCTAAGAGAATTTATGAAAGTCTGAAGATTTCTGATGATTATGCAACACACTGTGTAAAACTGATTTCTTTTTAACTTTACTTTACCCATCACCTAGGAGTTTTGGAAAACCAAAACATTTTTTGAAATTGGTTCTGCTAGCTTGACCATGGTGCCCAATCAATAATTATTAGCATAAAAATGGCCTTCACATTCCACGTGTGTTGTGTTCCAGTCAATAGGTTTCTGTATTTTTCTACTTAACAATTTTTGTTTTCTTATACACTACATTTTCATCAGTTTGTATATAAAACATCTGTCACAAAGTGTGATGTCAGGGCAGTTCAGTCTCCTGTAACACTGCTCAACAGCCAAAATATATCGGAGATGAAACTAAGCAATTTTTACTAATTTTGAGCTGCTAAACACGAAAATGACATTCATTTTGCATGATTGGTTCGCATTTCGAAGATATTCAAACCAAGCTGTTTCGCTCAATTTTCATAATTTTTAGAATTGCAATGGACTACTTACTTCAGAAACAGCCTGTAAAAGGGTGGAGAAGGTTTTATTGCTTCCTGCAGGTCTAGTCAACATCCCTAAGGGATGTTTAATAAATTGGTTCAGTTGTCCTTGTGGTTCTGTTTGGCAAACAAGTGTTTTGTGGAGTGCGGATTTTGTGTTTCACTTCGTCTTAGAATACTTATGTAGCAAACAGCAAAAACGTTGTTGCGAGTACTTAAATGAGATATTTATAACACTAAAATATACAAAATGTCGCGTTGATGTGTCAATAATCCTAACAACTTTTGTTATATCTGTGGAGAAATGACTTTTGAATCACAAAAACAAAACTTGACCCCCATCATTAAGAAAGCGTACCACCTTTATTTTGGCTGCAAAGTGGGTAACATGGACAGGGCATGGACACCCCATATTTGCTGACTGAAGTGTTCTACAAATCTACGAGACTGGCTAAAAGGAAAAATGCAATCTATGCCCTTCGCTGTGCCCATGGTGTGGCGGGAACCGCATAACCATGTAAACGACTGCCACTTCTGTATGATTCCTCCTGTCATCGGCATAAACAATAAGAAAAAACATCCTTTGATCTATCCAAACATCCCCTCAGCCATTCGTCCTATACCCTATAAAAATATTGTCAATGAACCACTAGTAGTTCAAAGGAAAATAATACTGCCAGCATTGCACATTAAATTGGGTCTGATGAAAAATTTTGTAAAAGGAATGGACCGAAATTTCACAAATTTCCCCGACTAAGTGAATCTAAAATCAAAGAAGGCGTTTCGTAGGTCCCCAAATAAGAAACCTGATTGTTGATGAACATTTTGTTGACATTTTGATGGGAGAGGAGAAAATTGCATGGGAATCCTTCAAGTCAGTTGTTGGGAATTTTCTTGGAAACAACAGGGTGCCAAACTAAAGGGAATTAACAGACAAATTGTTGAAAGCATACAGTAAAATGGGGTGCAATATGTCTCTTAAAATGCATTTCCTCCACTCTCACTTGGACTTTTTCCCTGATAATCTTGGATTGGTTATTGATGAACATATTGAACGATTTCACCAAGATGTTTCTACTCTTGAAAGGCATTATCAGGGGAAATGGTGCACATCAATGATAGCTGATTACTGCTGGTCGGTAGTAAGAGATGCCCCTGGGGTAAAATAATGAAGAAAGGCCAAAAGACAGTGTCTATAAGGTAGTGGAAAAGTTTTTAAACATTTGCATATAGTGAAGTGAAGAGAAGGTCCTGATGAAACGTGTGATTCATTACTGTTACTGACTTATGTCTAGTTGGTATTAATTTTTAAGTTATGTACTTTAGGTTATACGGTTTTGTAATATTATAAGTTGTTTTATTTTGAGTGTGGTGTGTTGTTTTGTTGTGTCTCATTGCTTTGTTGTGTCTTATGTCTTTTTGTCTTACTGTATTGTTGTGTCTCATTGCTTTGTTGTGTCTTATGTCTTTTTGTCTTACTGTATTGTTGTGTCTCATTGCTTTGTTGTGTCTTATGTCTTTTTGTCTTACTGTATTGTTGTGTCTCATTGCTTTGTTGTGTCTTATGTCTTTTTGTCTTACTGTATTGTTGTGTCTCATTGCTTTGTTGTGTCTTATGTCTTTTTGTCTTACTGTATTGTTGTGTCTCATTGCTTTGTTGTGTCTTATTGTAGGACCACTGCCACCGGGTAAAAACCCATTTGCAGTCAAATAAATAATAATATGGACGAATTTATTGGTAATATTTTACAAAGTACAAATATCTTCAAAACACGTAACTAACTAAGCTTTTTTATTGTCATTTTCGAATTTAGCGGACGAAAATACATAAGAATTGATTAGTTTCATTTCCGATACATACAACTCATTAAAATTTGTTGTCTAGTGTAATTTGTTGGTTCAGTAGTTAAAGAAACTTGATTATGCTGAATTATTTAAATTGGCTTTGGTGCTTGTTCAATCCATTTGTTCTTCATCATTATCATTTCTATTTGTGTACAGACATTGAAATCTAGTTGTCTGCATGGACTTTCATGTTTTATACACTATGTATTCTCTGGCCAGAGCCAGACAGCCCACTATAAAGTGTTTTATCAACTAATCAGATTGCTGGCAACTATTACATTTACTGTACTGTGCACTTTCATAGTGCTTGATCTCGCACAGCAATTATCTCAGTATCATGTTCTCCCTTTACACAGATGAAATGGGGATCCAGGATTGAAAGTATTGACCTAGCACTGTCTTATTTTAACATTCCATTTATGTCTTAAACTATCACTGACATGTTTTGTTTCATTTTGTTTTTCAATTACTGCACATGCTCAAGTATTCCATTAATGCATGCTATGTAGCTTTTCATTCACTTTCTACGTGACAAAGTTTTCCAGTGATGTGATGCTTGCTTTGATGTTTATCATTCACTTTCTGCATGCACAAATTTCCTATAATTCTTGTTCATGTCCTGCTTAGAGCATATTTTTTTGCTGGCAGTTATCATATCTCCTTGATACTTACTCACACTACCATTTTTCATTCAAGAGTACATAAAATAGTTACCCACATGATTACTTTTTCCTTAATAATAAAGTCAAACAACTATATTTAGCTAGTCGACAGAAAACACTAACAAATTCACTCATGTATAATACAATATTCAATATCAACAAACAAAATATGCAATATCATAAAATCTCTTTCATGCATGTTATAGTTTGTAAAAGAATTAATTCTTCAATTGCTTACAGTCTAATACAATGTACAGTCTACACAAAGTAGCTGTGACTCCAAGACAAGAAAAAAGGGGGAAAAAAGATCATGCAAAATTCAAGAACATTTTTCAAGGTTTTGCAGAAAAACTATTTACATAACATAAAGTATGCAAACAGAATATAACAAGATGCATGCAACCCAGAATTATAGCACAACAAAGCATGGAATTACATCATGAGGAAATTCAACAAATTCATATGGTTACCCTCACATCACAATTCAGCAACAGGTGCAAAGAAACAGGCGCCATTGCTTAGCATCGCACAGTTAAACCCCACTCCCTCCACAAACCAGAGTGCCTTATTTTTCATATTTCATTTATGCAGAGCACATGTTTTCCTTAAATTTGATTGTAAATATAAACAGCTTCAAAAAAATTTCTCTTTTTCATCCTAATACCTAAACTAAATTAACGCATATCATTGAACTATGAAAAAATATGCCTGTCTTCATTAACTATATAAACTGAGAATATTTACGTATAATTATATGCTATAATTTAAACTTTTCAGGCTACCCCCTCTCCCTATTTGTCAAATTTAGTAAGGTTTTACTCCATTAAGTTGAGAACTGCACAAACTACACAACTTGAGTTTCAGCTGTTCACATGTATGCTTCCATAATTAGCAAATTATTTTTTTAGTTTGGGGTTTGAAAATGTTTATGAAGAAGAACAAGACATCAATATATCCAAAATGAGAAGCACACGTTACTAATTCAGTTAAAAAATTTATCACCATCTAGTCTCACTGCATGAGCCAGGATAGCTCAGTCAGTACATTGACTAGCTACGGGCTGGGTGACTGGGGTTTGATCCCTGATGGGGGCAGAGGATTTTTCCTCTAATCTCTGCATCCAGACCGGTTCCAGGGCCCACCCAGCCTCCTATCCAATGGGTACTGGTGTCCCTTCCCCGGGGGTAAAGCACGGCTGGGGTGTGATGTTGACCACTGGCCCCCACCTAGTGCCGAGGTCAAGAAAGAGTAGATACCTCCACTCCCCCCCCAAATGACCTACATGGCGTGTAGTGGGACAGCTTTACTTTACTTTTACTTTTGTCTCACTGCACATTACGCAATACAGTAAAAGTAATTTCCACCATTCCACTGACTCCTACAATTTAATGTCTTGTAGAAATATCAGGCATCTTTTATTGGTGATTCTGAACACTTAACATCTACAAACACTGAAATATTAAACCATCATTCAAACTTGCCATTTTAGCGATTCTCTCTCACCTGTATCAACATTCCATGCTGTCGGCTCTGTTTCCGACTAGCATCAAGCTGCTTCTGAAGCACCGACTGCTCACTAGAGATTCTCTGTAGTTCTAGTGCATCTGCCTCTGTCAGCTCATTCCCAGATTTACGCAGCTGCCGCTGTTTGCTATTCAGAGACTACATAAGGCAGCAAAAGAAAAAAAAATCATATCTGCAATTAAACCCTTGCTCTAGTAATACTTATATAAGAATAACAGATGGCAGAAATTTACATTCGTAAAAATATCAGCGTGTCTTTTATCTCCATTAACATGTTTCCTATCACCTGGTGCACATGTGGTCTTTGTGTAACAAAATGCATATTTTATTGTGCTCTATATAACATAAGTATACTTCAGGGAAAAAAGTGGAAGTAGGAGCTCCCATGGCTAAGCCATTTGTTTGTTTATAAAAGGTGCCATTAAGTTGGAAATAATTTTGTACTAAAATTATGTGCATTAAATTTTGTATTTCTGTAATTAACGTATCATATCACATATGAATCTTCCAATTTGCAGTATTGCATCCTGTGGAATATTAGTGTACATGTTAATTATGTAATAGGACCAAAAGCATGTATTTTTGGAAATATATATGTTAAAAATAATCTATAAGGCTATTTGTATTCCTCAATTGCATGAATGTGGGAATCTGCATGATTTCATTCAGCAATTTTGCTAAATATGTAGCAACGTTGTGCCACTTCCTTATCAATTTAATGGGGGTTTTTGTTTACGCAATTCTATAAGTAATTCAATTTTAAAGGGTTTTGACGACGGTAGTTTACACTTAAAATTGTTTGTTGTCAGGACAGAGACTAGCTCTTTCTAAGGGACCCAACAGAGTAGGTACCTCTCACCTGAAGACGGAGACAGAACCAGCCTCCGAAACGTCGTGAATTTTAAAAAAACAGATGATGGAAAAAGTCCTGACAACAAACAATTTTAAGATTAAATTCTATAAATGCTCTTAACTTGGGTGGCTATCGGTTAAGGTTAATTGATTTCCACTTTTTGGGTTCTTTTAGTTTTGAGTCAAGGTACTTAGTGACCAAAAGGAGTCCTGTGTTTGACTTATGATAGACAACATTATGATGGGGCCTAACAAAACATGTTATCTGGATGATAATAAATGTTGTGATACTGTATTTCTGAGAGTAAATGTAGTGGTGACAGTTACATGAATGTGAAACACAGTATCAAGACACGAGCAAAAATTAGAGAATTCTGAAATCAAGATTTTCCTCTGCACAATATATATTTCTTAAATGTTTGGAAAGAACTATTCAATAAACCCAACACAGAACATTTGGCCTAGTAATCCAGACCTTCCCATATGACTTCCAAAACACAGTTCATAAATATTTAGCAATGTTCTTCAGGACTCATCAATCTTTGCTCCAAATAGCAAAGGCATGAGCTTTTTATCACTATTGGCATTTCCAAAGTATGAGACTGGTAGAAAATGGCAGATGCGTGCTAGATGTAAAACAATTTTTCTTGTTGGGAAATTCATGGTCCACAGATGTGATCCTTGGAAGTGTGGGGAATTTTAACAAAGTTCCTAAAAAATTTGGCCACATAAACAGCATATGTGGGTACAAAAAAATGAAGACTTAGATAACAGGGACCTCCCACACAGACCTCTGATAACTGGTCTTTCAAACAGTTTATGATCCACATTCTATTACAAAAAATGGCCAAGATATTTAATTTTATAGAGTAATGCAAAACTCTTAAAATTAAATGACTGCTAAAGAAAATTAAAATATTAGTTCAATGTTAATAACTCACTGTGGGAGAGATGACTTGGAAATATACTTCATTAAGTGATTAATATCTTCAGCGCAGACCAAAAGACTGACACGTCTCATACAACTACTCGGATGTACTTAAATGAAGCTTACCTTGCGTATCTTCCGTAATTTGCTAACTTCAGTTTCATAATACTTCAGTTGTGATGAAACTATCTGATTTTGGTGATTCAACCACTGTTCGTAATGTAGTTGTGTTTGACGATCCTGCTCAGTCATGATATTCTCTGGCGGTAACGGAGGTGTAGGCAAATGAGGAGCATTGAAAAGAGGCACTCGGCCAGCTGAAAAAAATTCAAATAATCAAGTATTTGTTTCCCGCCTTTCATGGCACTACTGAGGGCTTTAATTGTACAACAATGCCACATTTTTGCAGTGGAATCTCTGAAATTTAAGCAAAGATGCACACTAAACACTCAGCTATTTCCTGCAGTAACAAGGTGACTCTTGGAGCTCTGTTCTTGCATAATACCATGGCACAGTTCCATTTTGACTGTAACTAATAATTCAGAAAAACCTTTCTTCAACTGAGACATCTGACAATATTTTTATATAATGCAAACGGTTTGGTAACTACACACAATTAATTAATCTTCTTGAATTAATGATCTGCCTGCTTACAAATCACTCCTGTAAGAATTTTTCTCTTCTTTACTCAAGTTCAAGTCCATGTACCTCTGCTTGTCACACTCCACACTGATCTCCCAACACTGGACTCCGTCTCTCTCGGCATAACACTCAGGCTCATAAGCAATTCATTAGGCACAACCATGTGGTCTGCTTTCTCACTCAGCATTCAGCTGGATTTACGCTAGGTTAGCCATATACAAGGTCTTTAGCTATCCATTCTTCCATTGCTAGCCAGAGGGCTGCCATCAATTAAAGCTGGATGGATGGCCAGAAATTATGCAATCAAGGTATCAAGTAAGTATGACTATATGAAAAAGTGTAAAACTAAACAAATTCCATGCAGAACTGAAGCCACGCACTGTTTACTATCCCAAATGCTACTGAAGTACAAACTGATTGCAAAATATATTGCAATTTAATAACATTTTCCTTTTCAGTTTCAAAAGCATAAAAACAACTTCAGCCATTTTCAAAAGCTACAGAAGCACATGAAAAAGACAATCATGCATCTTTTCATAGTAATGCTATTTCTTAAAGTAAATACATGCACAGTGGCTTCATAACTCAAAGGAGTGTTATAATTCACACACCTGATGCTAGTGCTGAGGTGAGACGTGCTGCTTATAGCAACAGAGAATTTATAAGAATTTTCAATTTAAGGCAGAACAAGCTTGTCTGCTGGACAAGTGTTTAACGGGACTTTCGAATCTACAGCAATGGAAGAATCTGCATGCTAGCATATTGTGAGGATTCTCTGAAATGGACAGGTGGAACCTGATATGCAGCCACCTTGTTGTGGTGAATTCTGGATTGTTTTGCAGCTTACTGTGCAAAACAAGCAAAGACCTGCAACTATCAAACATGATGCAAGAAAGCAAAAACTTTGATGCTGAGGCAGCATCTCAAAGCACTTTGTAACAGCAGCCATATTGCACACAACTCACCAGCTGCCTACAGGGCAAATTTCCAACACCATTAGAATTTAAAACAAAAGAAAAATAAATATGGCCTGTATTCACTCCTTCCTATTATGCAAGCAGCACTGCAATATTCTTGATCAGTTTAACCCGCTGGCATAGACAGCAACCAGGCAAATGCAAGGATCGTCCTTTAAATGAAGCAACAACCACTTCCTTCCACATCCTCTACATTTCAACATTCACTAATCATCCTATAATTTGATGGAATATAATCTAAGCAAGTAAATGTGTCATAAAATAAAACATTATAAAGATAAATGAATAAAATACATTGTAAGCAGATTTAAATTCTTTAGCATGATAACTATGTTATCATGATGTTTATACTAAGCACAAAATAATAAGAACCAGCTTTCCTCTGACAGTGAATACAGGCCAAAATGTTTGTCCTCTGAGTTTCTGCAAATAAGTAAACACATTCAAAGTTCTGGAAAAATACGTATATCATATTAACAGTATTTCTTCACTCAAAAGATACATTCTGCCACATAACTGCCTCATAAAGACAAATCAATACAAACAGAAATGTTCACACCTGTAGCTTCTCCAGGTGTAGACTGCTGCCGCACTAGGACACCACTGGGCCCCATTTTGGAGTCCAGCCCCGAAGATGGACCCGATTGCCACTCTATTAATTTTGATGTGGTTTGTGGTGCAGGTCGAGGGGGATAAGGTGGCCTTAAATTTGTTCCAACAACTGACACAAGATTTGGGCTGGGCAACAGACCTTGGGCTGAAATTGTGAAAAGACACAAGCTCGTAACAAATACAACTTACTTTCAAAAACTAATTTCCTATATTTGACTATCTAAGATGACAATTTACCACCATGAAAAGACAGACAGGCTTCATCACATGACAAAGATGGCTTGAGCAGAAATGATGTGTTGAGAGACTGGCACTTGGGACGTGCTTTCAATTAAATACACTTTTATCTTGCTGTTCTTAATTTAAGAAATCAAGGCTTCTAAGTCAAATGCCTGAGAAGCAGCCCATCAAATACTAAGAAATTCATACATTACACTGAATCTTGTCTGACTTCACTATCTAGTACAATTATTTGCATCATAAAATCAACAAACATAATTCAATTTCCTGTACTACTTCACACTGGATATAAATGCATGCCTCCTCAACATAACTCAGTCAACCTATCTACATCACTACATCAGAAATATGGCAGTAATTTATTTAACCCCACAGTACTATACATAAATGTCTACTTCTCACACATAACTTTACGAAATGGACTAATAAAATGACATTTAATCAGTTAAGATAACATAAGGTCGTGCATGGCTGCAAGTGCACTACCTGGATGACCTACTCCTAGCTTTCCTTGTAATCTGATAGCAAATCCATACACTTTGATCTTAAGCAGAAAATACATGGCCATTATACACCATGTTTGTAATTACCGACATATAAGCAATATTTAACTCAAAATTTGTAAACTTGTTTATGATCAACAAACACAATTTCACATGGTTCATCAGTTGCTGCCATAAAACTGAAAGCCAAACATAAATTTCAGGCACCACAGAAAATCCCAGGCCCACACATTAGCTTGCTTTTTTTTGTTAAATACCTTCTTCCAGCTCACAACACTCTAAAGTGCCTGTGTTTCAAGCTTTTCCCAACAAAGACCTCAGACTGAGTTGTAATATGTGTAAAATAAAGTAAGACACTACTAGAAACTGCAAGAACACTGCTCATCACAGAGAACTAGATTTACTTAATAATTACACAGAATCACCAATGACTTATCAGTTGAAGATTTCTGTCTTCTGGGTTATTGCGCTGTGTAGTCTGGTCGATGTTAACCAACGTTTCAGAGGTCATACTGCCTCCGTCATCAGGGCGATGAATATGCCAATAGGGTGTCGGTTAGCTTTTTGGTTGGTTGGTTGGTTGGCCTATTGGCATATTCATCGCCCTGATGACGGAGGCAGTATGACCTCTGAAACGTTGGTTAACATCGACCAGACTACACAGCGCAATAACCCAGAAGACAGAAATCTTCATACTCACCGCTGTGAGAACCTCAAGTCTTACAGACTTATCAGTTATTTGGTGCCTATGTCACTCACAGCTACTATCATGTCTGCAGCGAAGCCAGTATCTGAGCATGGCAGCTTTGCTGTTTACAGAGAGAACGGGACACAGTAAACATCCCTGGCACATGTATAAATGCGAAACCAAATTTTCTCTTGACAAAGCTGTGCTGTTATCAGTGAATAGAACTGTGCATTACTGAGTAAGAAATAAGTGGAAGAACATTCTGGGGAACTGTACTGTTATGCCACGAGAAATGCACTGTAATCGTAAGTAGAGCAACTCTGCGGCAACTATACTGATAGGTAAATGACAGGAGTGGATAGCATCTGATGGTGTGACATGCAAACAAAGTTTCACAAAACTCTGTCAAATGTTTCAGAGGTTATTACTGGGACAGACACACAGACATGATACACTTTCTTACTAAATATGTAAAACAGACTGAAAAATGGGTTATACAATGACAAATGTAACAAGTGAACAAATATCTTTCCCACCTGGAATCCCCTGAGGTGGTGAGCCAAGACCTGGGGAGCCTCCAGTAGGAGTGGTGGTACCTAACACATCGGCCCTTAGTCGTTCGAAGTCAACATCACTGAGTAACGGTGGTGATGCTGAAGCAGGTGGCGGCTGCTGCTGCTGCTGTTTCTCCTGCTCTCGTTTTTCCTGTTCAAGCAGATCTTCTAGCAAGAGTGGCTGCTCCTGTAATGGAGACTGCGGCACGTTAGTCCAGCACAAGCAGACCACTTTTATTAGAACAAAATCAAGAATTAAAACAATCATAAATAAAATAATACAAGGTAATGCTCCCAATTACCCTAGATGCTCAATGCCATAAGAAAGAGAAACCAGAAATAAATACTTCTAACCTTTAAAAAGTTATAGGCCTTATCAACACAATTTTAAAACCATTGAAAGTTCAGAAAAACTGCACCATAATACATGGTAATACCTTCACATTACCAACATTTTTATATGGGAATGAAAACTGGTCAATGAAAGCAAAAGCTAAAATCAGAATCAGAGTCCCTAAAATGAAATTTGCAAGAACACAAATAAGCCTATGAATGGTCCCAGCCTTGACTGGTGGTGCCCATAATAAACATAAGCAAGCATGCAATGCTGTCTCCAGAAGTAATGAGTCATCTAGTCCAATGAGCAGTACTCATGTGCGCAGCGCATGAACTACTATTTATAAGTTTTGATCATGAGTGCATCACAGAAAGGAATTTTCCGACAAGACAACAGACAATAACAGCAAACACATTACCACAAAATGTACGGCTGTCTCAAGAACACGTGCATTCCAAGAAATGTCTTCTGAGCAATGATGCTTTTTCTGACAGTCAACAGTCTGAAGAAGATATTACTCAGCTGCAGCATAAACAAAGTAAGATTTCTAGGACGAATTGGATGGAAAAATTTAAATGGATAGCCAACAGAAATAATACTTCTCGGTACAAAGTATTTTCAAGACATGAGAACTTTTCAGATACAAATTTGAAGTGGTTAATGATATTTGGGTCCTTTCAAGATGGGGACTTTATGAATCCAGTAATTGCTTGTAATGTTGCTGAAGCAGAACATATGTGTACTCCATTTGCAGCACATCAGAAAAAGACATGAGGAAATGTTTAGTCATCTTAATAATCTTATATGACTGGAAGCTTCTGTGGTGACTAAGTGATAAAATCCTCTCAGGTGACCAGCTGCATCAAATTGGAACAGAAGTCCAACATTTCAGAAACCCTCTGTCTCCATAATCAGGGAATAATATAATGGGCAACCAAAGTTGTTTGTTTGAAGATTTCCGTCTTCTGGGTTGTTGCGCTGTGTAGTCTGGTCGATGTTAACCAACGTTTCAGAGGTCATACTGCCTCCGTCATCATGTTTGTTTATATATATATATATATAAAAAATCAGTGTCTCCTTCATGCACAGTCAATGGCCAATGAGCTAAAGGGGCTGGAGTAAAATGGAACTCATTTCAAAACATTCGCTTAGAGTCGCTGTACCTGGAACTTTCAGTCAAAGCAACACAACCATTGCTGTCTTAAGGAGAAAAAAGAAATTAAAAAGAAAAGAAAATAAACTGTCTATCACTGGTCAAAATGTTGGCACCTGCAAAGGCAAGTATCAGAAATATGAAATGAAAATGATGTGACAATGGCCAAGATAAAATTGAAAGCAGGATAAGTGCCATCACAAGAAGACAGAGTAAATTTGAAGAAAAAATTATAGAGATGCTAGAAAAAGTATTACAAGATGTCACGGCAGTTGTTGAGTGGACTGGAAACTTCAACGAAGTGATGAATAGTGAGCTGCAAGTAACATGATGAGACATCAAAGTGGCACGATGAGACACAAACGGAGCTCAACATAACTTGGAAGCCTTACGTTGTTCCTGATGCAGCTGGCAACAGTAAAACTCCCGAATGTACGTGTGTGAAAGCGAGAGTGCGGAAGCAGCACAAGAGGGAAGATATAAATTATTACCATTGCGGAGTGTGGGCAGAGCAGTCAATATTTTGACTGATGAACTAACACAACAATAATCACAAAAATAATTAATTGTAACTGTAGGGAGTGCAACAAATCTACATTGTAAACAAAGGACCCAGCAAGCTAATGACTAAAAATTGACAATATGAAGGAATATTAAATTCATGAAAATCCATTCTGAAATACCAGACATACATCATGTTTGTGGATGGATCAAGACTCTTGGCATTTACCTCCAAACTTTAAACAAAGCCCAATATAAGCAAGTACATGACTAATTAAAAATTTGAACGATTCAAATATTCCCACACAAAATACCACTAAGAGCCACAGTTAGCATAAAAATGACAACTATAGATTAAAGTTAAGGCACCAGGCACCAAACATAGCAGTTACCAGAAAACACATGGCCCATAAACACATGAAACACTACAGGGCAACATGAAAGAAAAAAATAAAGCATACAATTACCACTGTATTATAAAAAGACATCTTATTTCCTCTAGAAGCGAAATAAAATAGACAAATTAGCAAGACGTTAGAAATTCAGTTTTATAAGAACGGAAGTATCAAGACAAAAGAGAACAAGTGACACTGCTCACAGCACAACAACAGAAATCAGATACAGGCACACCACGTGACACAGCCGCGCATTCCTTAAAATTAAAAAGAAAATATTACTGGCAGCAATCACAAACTTCGAGATTTTAGGTTCTCCTGGTTGTAAACATGACAATTCTGATCTTCTGAGTGGTTATTCCATGTGGAACTGCAGGTAGATAGCAATGTTTTACAAGAACATATTGCCTCTATTTCAGGCCTTAAGTGTACTGAAGTCTTCAGGGAATTCGTCCCTGTAATGGAGGCAGTCTGTTCCTCTGAAATGTCAGCAACACAGCCCAATTCCACAGGTTACAGCACACAAAAGCAGGATAAACATTGGCAGTAATCATTTTCCAATGCACTTAAAGTGCTGATGAAATATGGGAATAAGGGAGAAGAATGCAAACTGGTTACTCATAAGGAAGTTTGTGTTCTATTTTGCTGGACAGATGTAAATGTATGAAGTAGTACCTTCACTTCAAAGTGTTTATACTTTCCTGAAAAGCACTGAAACAGGAACTATAGATACAAGTTTCAGATTAATTAAAATATTATGATTCTGCTACTTAAACATCACTAAATGGTGAACTGATATTTTGGATACACATGTTCACTGGAATTAAGCCACAATGGAAGTAACTTGACACGTTCTGCAGCGCAGATCAAAATTAAAAGCCACACATAATGCACTTTTCTCAACAGTTTGCCTCCTAACATAGCTGTTTGAACATCATAGCTACCACTGTGATCTTAAAGCTTTGAAATTTCACTTTTATATAGGGAAAATCAAAAGCAGCTTCAAGCTTTTGATAAACTGACAATTGTGTTAACACCAGATGAAAGCCACAGGCAATAACAAAAATGGGTAGACTAAACCACACATTTCATTCGCAATCTTTGCACCTCCGGTGCTCCTGAAGTGAAAACAAAAATGGTGACTTAACAGCAGCACAGACAGAGCACAGTGCATGTCTCAGTTCATAAAAACAAAGTTGCAAATCAAGATCACTGACAGTTTCATATACAAAAACACCAGCAGATATTCTGTGTAGAAACAGAGTAACAACTCTGCTGACACCAGGTGTTCTTGGAATTTTTGCGAAGAATAGGCAGACCAAGCATGAGCAAATGAGAATTAGCTAACATAATGTGCCAGTCAAGAAATTAATGTACTACAGAAGACAATATGGAGACTGTTCTGTACAAACTGCAACAGCAACCCCAAAGTAAATGTGATTTGTGTTCTACATTGCAGAAAAGTTTACGGCTCATTCTCTTTCACTGAAAAAAACATCTTGGTACTGTGTCCCTAGACATGCTAGACAACTTTCTGATCCTGCGAATTACCAAGGACAGCAGTCTCACAACTGTAATCTTGCAGCTGCCACACTTCAATACAGACGAGGCTTCATGCCAACTAACTCTTTTGTCTAGGCATTCATTAAATGTCATATTTACTGACCATTACCACTCATCTTGAAGAATTAAAGGACAGGACTACTGCACTGATTGCAACAATTATACCAAGCATGAGGTACAGAGAACAACAAGGGAGTCATTACTGCCAAGATGTCTGACACATCACTCGTGGTAGTCATACTAGAATAATGTAATTACTGCAAGTGCAATAGAATGGAGGGTTTTTTCTATCTCACAATGCCACTCACCATCTATGTCTTATCTCAGAAAAGAAAACTTTCACAAGTCTTCATAAGTGTGAAGCTGCCTTTGACATACACTGATAAGATAAGAAACTGTTCTAAGAAAATGATAAATTGGATAGTATGAGATCAAACAAACAGAAAGGTATCTTGAGCTTTGTTTCCACACTTGCATTTTTTCTGGGGGTGGGATTTTAGGAAGTCAAGTACATGATATGGCTGAGCAACAACTTTTATTTTGGTGCTTTAGTCAGTAATGGTTGGTGGTTGGGGGAGGTTTGTTCCAATGGTCATGGTGGTGGACAAAGGGGATGCTACAGGTCTGCCTGGTCTATTCCAGGGGTCATCAACCTGGTCCCTACCGCCCACTAGTGGGTGATTCAAGCTTTCATGGTGGGCGGTGTGGGTTTTTGTCTGTTGTTACAAATTTTGTTCTTCTTCCATACATCGAATACATTGCTAACAACTTCGCGATTTTGACTTTTTAAAATATGCTTTTGCAATTTACTTTTGAATTCCATCTCTAAAATTTGAATATAGATAATAATTCACTGAACACTTCTCGAAGTATTCACGTGGACGAGAGAGCAACAAATGAGCTCTGTAGCCAAAGGCACGACTTTAGTGTGCATAACGACGACGGGGCTTACCACCGGCCATCATTCAGTCTTCGAGCTGTACCTCTTTCATGGTGGTGGGCAGTACGTGCGGCACCGGTGGGCGGTAAGGAAATTTTACCATCAACAAAGATACAACAGTGGGCGGTAGGTATAACAAGGTTGACGACCCCTGGTCTATTCAAACATTAGTGTTGAAGTCACTTCCATTATGTTGTACTGTGTGTCACTTATGTGGATGTGTTAGTTAACACTAGAGTATCCCAGGTAAAATGGTTGAAAATTATAAGAAAACTGTACTGACAATAAATCAAACGACTGAGTTACTTTAATAATCTGAGAACAGAGAATCAGTGACAGAATTAGCCAAGGATTATGGGGTAGTCACTAAGTGATTGAATCCACGAGACAGTGCTATTGGACTGACCTTAGATCTCTTGCCACAATGTGATAGTAATGTGGACTGAAAATTGATGGTGTTGGAAGCTTTACGAGCATATCATGGGTTGAAATAAGTTATGCTGGGTTCAGTTAAGTTGTGTTGTGTGACTTTAAAATAGGTTAGGTTCAGTTAGATTACTCTGGGTTGAGTTTGTGGAGGTTAGGTTGGGTTAGGGAAAGTAAGGTTAGTTTAGGCTGGTTTGGATTATATTAGTTGCCCTGGGGGATATCAGGAGTGGCACTGTGGTGTGCCCCAGGGGTAAGCACTGGAGAAGTGAGCCCAGTGAGGTGGGCCGCGGTGTGACCTGGGCATAGAACATACATGCTTGGGAGAAAACCCTTATGTGGGATACCCAGATGGATGGAGCAGATTAAAATCTGTCCTACTCTGAACAGCAACTCTTTTGTGGGGACGAACGAAACAAACATGAAGGAGCCCTTAAAGTGGAAAATATGCTCCAGACTTTCTGTAAGCCTGGTGAAACAAAAAACTTTTTGAGATAAATAATAACTGGTAGTGAAACTTCAACAGCACAAAAACAAAACACAAGAATCTATGATGTGAAAAAAAGTGGAAATATCAAAATCAAAGGCCAAAACCATACCAATTTGGTTAGATGTGAAAGGACTTATATGTTACAAATTTGTTGCTCCAAGACATTAAACCAAGCATCCAGATTCAACTTTTGGAATGCCATGGAAGCACATTCACCAAGAAAGCCAAAATGTTTGTCTCAAAAAGTGTACTATGCATCATGGAAATTCACATTCTCACACTTGTGGTAAAGTCAGTACCAGTGTTACAACATTTGTCGCTCTTAACCCATTAAAGCAGTGTCATTTTTAATCACTTCAAGCTGTTAAAGAGGAATGTCATGTACATAATGAAAGAGCATTTGGAAAATTACTGAAGCAAGCAGTGTTTGTCAGCAAGACAAAGATGTTGGAATGTGCATCTTAGAAGGTGAATGCTTTAAAGACTATCACAATCACTGCAGGTCAGTGACATTATACACATGTTCCAAGACCAACCTGTTAAGTGTTAGATCTCATACAAACTGAGCTGGCTGCAAATTTCGATACCTGACTTGCACCTTCTACACTAACCAATACAGTACAAGTAAGAGAGCACACACAGTAAGCCACATCACAACAGCAGCATGTACACTCTTTTCCATCTGTAGGACGTCTGGCACCAAGACCATTTGAATAAGTCACTGTAATTCTGTACAGAACTTCAAATGTTCAGCCTACCTCTTCTTCAGAATGACAACAAGAAATTCCTGATTTGGTTTTAATGGTTGTGGAGCAATTGGATGTGATTAAATAGTTTTCTAATAACATTCTTTGGACTAAGACACCACAATTTGCATAAGCAAGCTTCTCATGTGAGTGGAAAGTGACAGAATGGTTAGCTTTAGGCTCAGTAATAATCTCAAATATGAACACTGCAAACTGATGTTAATCACTCAAGTTATTCTCTGTTTCCACGAACAGTTTTCAAAGAAAACAATGCTCCAAGCTCGTCTGATAAAATTCTATAAACTCAAACCGACTTAATCATGAGTATATTTTGGCAGCATTACAGCAAGTAAGTCACAGTTTATATTTGAAGCAGAAGGCTTGTATACTGTCTTCCAAGCTTAATGTTAAAGTAATTAGCAATCACCTCCTGACTGACTCCAATGTCTCCTTGAACTTATATTTTAATTGAAGATGGCTGTCTTCTGGGTTGTTGCACCGTGTAGTCTGGTAGAAGTTTACCAACATCTAAGAGGTTCTTGCTGCCTCCATCATCAGTGTGATGAGTAAGTCACGTGAGTGAAAAGTGCTAGAGTAAGAGGGACTGGATAGTTAAGGAATACCCAAATCCCAATCAGTGGGGACTGGTGTCAGAATCAGGCGAGGATGTGGGAACCAATAGGAGTGCGTGAGTGTGTCACAGCATGCAAGAGAGGGGTGGAGAGAAGGAAAGAGAGAGAGAGAGAGAGAGGTCCAAGAAAGCAGCCTTTTCAAGGGCCCCTCGGAGTCTGGCCGGTGGATCACCGGACATATGGGAGCTTTTTAACAGTTTCATTATAGCTAGTCACTTGCACTAATTGTAGAGAACCTTCTTGAGAAGATAATACTAGCTGAGTCAGTGTCTTAAACTGGGAAGTACTGCTCACAGCCATTACTCATGTTGTCGTAAAAGCTGTTAATTGTCCCATAAACTTTCCATGCTGTAGGTGAAATGGGTAAGGATAATGGCACTGCCAGATGTTTCCATTTTACTGCACAGAGACAGTAAGTTACAATAAGAGAAAGGACAATGCAGAATTAAAGAAATTACTATCACTTGCACACAATTCTGGCATAGCAGTGGGAATTTAAATGACTGGCCTTTAAATTCACAATAATTTTGTAGTGCTGTAGTATCTAACTTCATAAAGTAAACAGAAACACGAATTCAGTTGTCTATAATTCTGGCCTCACCTGCAGCAACAGTGGTCTGCGCTGAAGATGAGGTGGTCCTGGGACATGGCCCATTCCACCACCAGGAGGGTGCATCATGCCCCCAGGAACCGCAGCCACCATCTGCGGCATCACTGTTATAGGGGGTGGTCGTGGGGGCCCAAGGGGCAAACCCACTCCTAAACCACGTAGCCCCGACGGTGGCATCTACAGAAAGTAGTAGCAGCAGCGGAGAAGGGGCACAAAAGTTAGGGGTTAAGTGTTAGCAGCAGCCAAGATGCAGTCTCAATCAACAATTCCTGAGCCCTTCCAAGCATGCATAATAATAAGTTCTGTTATGTACTTAGTGTACAGAAACTATCAATACTGATATTACAGAGGCCAAGAATTTAACAGTATAAGTCTACATTGATAAAGTTTATGTTGATCAGGGCCTGAAAAACTTTCTCATAAATGAATTTTGTATGAAGGTCTTGACAGATTTAACATTATTTTCTACAACATGTATAGGATGTTTGTGAAATATAAAGCACAACCTTAGGGGCATGTTCTATACACCCAACCAACGAAAAAAGTCTATGTATCCACGGGTTCTAGGATGCTCCATCTCTGAGTTATGGGCCACTGTATTTTGGAAGAAGGATGAATGATACAAGGTAAACAGCCCACCAAAAAGTGGTAAATTACACATTCTTGATATCAATGTTATAAATTAGTTTTGAGAATAACACCATGACAAAAAAATTGTCAAAGTGTTGTACTTCTGATTCTACACAGCACACTGTGCATCTAATTAAGAATTATCACAAGAGACCAAAAATTCCAGACATTTTATGAACTAACTTGCATCCATCATCCCACCTTCTTTTGTAGTTCTGCTACAACATGAAGTCCCACAGCAAACATGATACTTTTAAGATGGCCCCATAAGTTACCCCATGTTCACAGATATTTTTCACTCTGTGCACATAATATGCCCATAAAGTGGCACCATGTATTTCAGAAACACTCTGTTTACTTCCTAGAGTAACAAAAAGAAACCAGTGAAGTAATAACACAAATATTAAGTCACTAAAGTATAACAACATTATCACCACCACCATTAATAAATACCACGGGCAGAGTCACTGAGTACCAGGTAACTCTTCAGCTGATGAAGAAATCCTCCATCTTATTAAACATCAAGTTTCATTACTGTGTTCACAAGAGCCCACCACTGGACCCTTTCTGGACCTATATAAATCCAACCCATATAATCAGTCGCTCCTATTAATCTCCTCTTAGTCTGCCAAGTGGCCTGCTCCCTACAGTCAGAATACCTATTTCTCATCTCTCCCACGCATGCATTCTGCCCAGTTCATCTTTGATTTGATCGTCCTAATAATACAAGGGTCATTCAGAAATGACTGGGACTTGACTCGAATGCAGGCCGAGAGATTATGACAGTGGCACAATCACACTTCGGCACACTACACAGAGGTCAATGCCATCTTTCTAGTAACTTTCTGATATATGCAGCAAACCAGTCTTTCAGGACAGTAAGCACTGGTCTGCAGACACCGTCGTGAAAATCACCATTCTTAAGGAACTGGCAACCACGCACACATCCTTGCTGGAAAATGCAGCAATCACATAAAGATGAATGGTTACAGAAGGTGATGCTGCTGCAAAACGATGCCAGGCCCCACATCATCCATCAAACAACAAAGACACTGATGCCCCTCAAGGTCATTGTTCCACCACAGCCGCCACATTCATCAGATTTTGACCAATCAGATTAAGCCCTGTCTAACAGGATGAAGTGGCTGGGCAATGGAAGACATGCAAACCTACTTGGGCCTAATGATGATAACGTGAAGAGCATGTGTGTGATCTGGTCCACACTGTCCTGAAAAACTGCTTTGCAGCATCCACAAGGAATACAGTAAAGGTCATACTGATGTCAGTGGGGAGTACACAGGCTGTGTGAAGTGTGGATCTAATCACCTCTCAGCCTCTATTCCAGGTAAGTTCCAATCATTTCTAAATGACCCTCATATTTGGCGAAAGGTAAAAATTACAAAGCTCCTCAACTGCCACCATCATTACTGCTGGTATTTTATATTTCCAATAATTTTTGCCAAATGAATGTTTGCATAGTTTGTAACTATGCATTTTAACACTAATTTCCTTACTTTAACTCAAATGTATCATATGTACCTTAAGTAATGGCAAAGTTTTTACCTTGACAGAATGCAGTTTCATATAGTGTGCCCAAATTAAGCAAAGCAAGACGTCAACAAGTGCCACATTCAATATTCTGTTAACGACTCAGCAAGTACAACACGACATTCAGAAGAATGTGTAAATTTGGTAGGGTAGAGTGGGGGTTCCAGCAATTAAGATCGTGAAGTGCACTCCAGTTTGGAGAACCAGGATCTGCATTCTTTTGTGATTTTGATCCTCATTTATTTATACAGTAAACCCTCAATTTAAGAAATTTCAGACTTAACGGACACCATTTGTTACTGAACATTTTTTTTAGGTGTGAGACATTAGTGGGCATTTTCGGTTTTAACAGATGCCCGTTAAAATCGTAAATATTTACTAATTGTAGCCACATGTGTAGATTTAAGGCCAAAAACATTCTAAAAGACAGTAACTATAATATTAAAATAATTATAAAACACTGTATAGAAGAACTTTTAAAATGCAATACTGTACTACGTAATTATGAACATATTTTATGAGAATATATGAGGTGCGGCATATTATAATGCATCCGTAGTTGTGTCTTGTGTGTTGGTGGAGCAATTAAGGCAGTGGCTGAGTCATACAAGTGCATGTTTTTGTCGAGGTGGAAAAATGAGTGACAGGCTGTTAGAGCAACGCATTAGCACCAAGTTTTGTGCAAAGTTTGGAAAAAGTATGAGTGAAACTTGCAGATGTTAACAGAGGCTTATGGTGCAGAGCTATGAAAAAGTCAAGTGCCCCCAAGTGGCATAAAATGTTTAAAGAGGGTTGGTAAAAAAAAGAGCTTCAGATATTCATTGTAGCAACAAGGAGAAGTTGAAAAGTTTTTCACTAACATGCAGTGTTGTTGCTTCAAGATGGGGTTAAAATTTGGGTGACAGAAAGCACATGAAAGTGGCAAGTGATAAAAAGAACTTGAAGATACTGTGTACAGAAAGTACATATAATGTTTGGAGAAACTCTGAGTGCTCCTATAGCGAACACTGAACCATTACGAAAATCCCTAAATGGAAAAGTGCATTAACCATACATATTAAAAGATATCATTTGAGGCATCCCAGAAATTTATTACAATTCTCAGAAAGTGTGGTTTAATGTTACAGTTTTTAATGATTGGTTCTATTAATAATTTCATTCTTGAAGTATGCAAGCATCTAACTGAAGTCCTGAAGATAGCCCCAGAAAATGTTAAGATTATTCTTGTCTTGGATAAAGTTCCAAGAACAGAAAAGCTCAGCAGCAGAGAAGGAAGTGTAAAGTGTTTGATACTGCCACCTAATAATACAATTTCATTCACAGCCATTACAGATCTGGCGATTAAAAAATAAAACGGTTTCTCAGGAACCAAATTCAGGTTGACCGCACCGCTGACATACATGCTACCAACTGAGCTACAACAGTGAAATGAAGGAAGGATTTGTTTACTGGAATACAAAGTAACACTGAAAAAAGCGGAAAATAAAGCTGTGTAATACAAAGAAAAAACAGTGGACTGTCTACACGTGACATTTTGGCCAAGAAGTCAGAGGAGGGTCCTCTGCCACATTTCAAAACTAGAGTAGAATCGTAAGGTAACAATTGATCGGGCCCCTTGCAAGTGGTTTGGGAGGAACATAGACATAATTTATGTTATGCATAAGGTGCAATGAATGTACAGAAATCCTTCCATTTGATACAAAGTACTACTATACAGCTGTGCCAGACCATTAAACTGGTCAGCTGGTGTAGAAATTATAAGACCAGTCAACAGACATAATCCGAACATAATTACTCTAAAATATATTTAACACCATAAAAAAATTTGTATGCACGATAGCGACCTAGATCCTGGGATTTGTCGATCCGTGTTTTATAGGAACACCTTTCAAGGATCTTGGGTATGTACTGGATAAAACAATATCAAAATTTCTCCCAGAGACATAGACGGCAAAATGAGAAGCAGAGTCAGTAATGTGAATAAATGCTGGCTGTTCAGGATTTTGGATGCCGCACACGTACATAGGAAAGATTAATCACCACATTTAATAACGTAAATATTCACAGGGCAGTAATTTTAACGAGTGTTTACATGGTAAGCAAACAATCCAATTATGTACTCTTTGTGTTTGCTAGTTGTAAACACTGTCCATTATCCGTACCACTGAGTTTCCCTTGTTCATTTATTCACATATGAATTCAAAATGGTATACCAATTATGAGATATCCAACTGTATGAATCATTTCCCACCAACTTGTGAAAAATATAAACAAACTTTGTCAGTAATAAGAATGAAATACAAAAGAATTATGGAACATAATAATACTGTCAACATAGAAAGTAGTAAGAAAAACTGAAATACAAATTGAAGATGGCTGCCATCTGGGATGTTGCATGCTGTAAACTGGTAGTTCATCAACATTTTAAAGATACTTGCTGCCTCCATAATCACGGATCGGCAAACTTCTACTAAACTACGTGGTGCAACACCCCAGAAGGCTGCTGTCTACATACTCACTGCCACAAGAACCTGAAATCTCACCAAAATAATTTTTGTTTGCAAACATGCATTACATAAAAGACAAACACTTCACACATCACAGATAAGCAACTCAAGTATGATGTAAGTCCCTCGACAATATCAAAAAGCAATATGCCACAAAAAACTTAAAAGGGCTCAGTAAATGATGCTCAAAATAAGTGAAATACGATATTCCATCAATATGTCAAACTTAATAGCAAACTGCATAAATTCCAAAGGCACCAACCACCAAATTATTATTTTGAGCACCAGCTGTTAAAAGAATAAAACACCACATTAATAAATTCTACTGTTATACTGGACCAGTTAAAAGTGATTTCAGGTAGCCCTCGATTTATGCTGGGGATGCATTCCTGGAAACCGGCGTAAATTGAAACTCTTTTATAACGTAAATCAATGGGAAGTCAATTACATGCGTTCCCAGCACCCAAACATTGACGAGTAGTATAATGGCATTACATTTAAAGCTCTGAAATAACATAAATAAAATAAAGAGAATTTAAAAAATATATTTTATGCACTTACAATCGGCAATTCGTTGGTCCCTGCGATTGACTGTGATTCTTTCATGTGATTGATGCGTACAGTCATCTCTGCTGTTATGCGATAGTTGCATTCATATAAGACGCCGGCCTATAGAAAATCGCGTAGTAAAATAACCCCGGTACCTCCACAGAGATTAAATTAGTCCTTTGAAAGTTTAAAGCGCCAGGAATGAAATTGCATAAGAGCAAACTCGCATATGCAAAAGTATGCATTTCACAAACAGCTTTTACCGATTCATCAATCTCATTGGAGCAAATTCACATTAACAAAACATACGTAATTGCAGAGATGACTGTATTTATAAATTTTATTCAACATCAGAGAAGTAAGAATTACGATTTAGTATAAGAGTCAGTACGAGATACATTGTAAAACGTTATAAATAATAGTAATTTCCCCCCCCCACTTTTTGACTTGCTGGTTTCAAAATCGGCGTTATTCTGAATCAGAGCAAATCGAGGGCTACCTGTAGTTCGCCAAAGAAAAATATATATTTCTGTGCAATCAACACATGTTATGTATATTTTTTTATCTCTACAAGAAACACTAATCAATGTCAAAACTCAAAAATGACATCATTTGACACATGACAAACCTAGAAACACTTTTGAGGTCTCTAAATGTGTCCTGGTATCATGAAACGTACACGCGAAGTGAAGAAACAATATGTGAGGGAAAGTTACAAAAGTGAAGGAAGCAACAAAAAAATTCCAGAAGAAAAATACCCTTTAGCTAGACAGAAAAAGTTCTGTTCAAAAGTGTTCAACATGTGGATAAAAATTCCAGTTTCATCTTAGTCTGAACAACGAAATTAAAGCTTTCACAAATGCATGTCAGAGTAATCTGTTATCCCAACCACATCCACAAAATAAACAGAAATAACACATTAAAATCATTAAATGAGACAATAGAATTTTGCAGACAGTTTCTGACTACAGAAGAGCAGCAAGCAATTTTTTTATGGTTTACGTCTTTTCACTGCATATTTAAATTTTACTCAGGCTTACGTGATTCTGAATTGCCTGCTACTGAAATTTAGAAGGAACATTCTATTGTTGCTTGATGAATATCCATCATAAAGGTTTTCAACTGAGATACACTACTTGATTAACCATAACTAAAACCCACTACATAAAATGCACATACCAGAAGTGCATTGACTAATTGTTTGTGGGGAATAAAACTGAATGCCCTGCGACTGAAAGTAGATATTCTTTTATTGTTGCAGCAGCTTGGAATTCCGTGTCTGGTTTTAAGTAATGAATAAGTGAGCGCAATGCGGATGAGCCAGTTCCTTGCCCTTCCTTCCCACTGCCAACAACCACGTACAAGAGACGTAAGTAAATGGCATGCTCACAATGGAAGAGACCCTTTCCAAAAGACAGGCAAAAATTCTCATGAACAGAGAAAAACTGATAATGGATAACACAAATTGGTGACAGTAGTATGTTAGTGTTTAAGTTAATCTGTGATTCAAATTAAAAGTGATATAAGTATCTGAAATATAAATTAAATTTCTCTTAATTCTCAAACTAAATTTATCCTAATTCTGAAACTAGTGTTTACCGTCATTATTATACTGATATCTCTAGTATTGGTTCCTGTGCTCAGTAGAGAAGCCCATGATGAAAAATCACTTAATTCAGAATCAGTTCATTCAAAGTTTGTATCTTTCAGTCCCTATCACAATTTGCAGGCCCCAGGAACGTTACAAAACCTGAAGAGAAGGAAAGCAGTCAACTTTAGACACATGCAAACAGAAGGTTAAACACTGCAGACGATCAGATAAAACAGTGACACAGACATAAATAAAACCACTACACCACATTCAGTCTCCTTCCAGTATAAAAAAGCACTCACCTGCTGGCATGGGCCAGGGTAGGGTGGTGGGGGCCCAGGGTAGGGGGGTG